ACTTCTTTTTTTTGGACAATCATGTGATCTAAAATCTTGTAGTCTTAGCTCATCTAACTAAATTAACTCATTCACTATAACTTCATTGTACTCTTCCAAGCTCAACTCTAAACTCTTAGATACTTACAAGGAAGGAATGGTCACCTCTAAAGGTAGCATTGCCTTATGCTCGTAAGTTAGTGAGTACAAGCTTGTGCCAGTGGCTTTCCTTTTTAAGGTTCAATAGGCCCCACAATGATTCCGAAAGTCATTCATGCCATTCCTTAGGATTATCTTCTATCATCTTCTTCAAGATTCCTAGCATCACTTTATTAAACATTTTAGCTTGCCCTTTTGCATGTGCATAATGTAGCATTGATGTTAGTAACTTCATGCCACTTTCTTTGGCAAAGTCCTTGAAGGTGCTTTTGGTGAACATGGTTCCTTGATATGTTGTGATTGTCTAAGGAATCCCATGTCAAAATGCGATCTTTTCTCACACGAAGTTTATTATGTAATCTTGCTTGACTTTCCTTATGAGGGTGGCCTCTACTCATTTAGGAAAGTAATTTATGGCCACTAAGATAAACAAGTGACCCTTAGAAGAGGCTGATTATATGTTCCTTATTACAAATTGTTTATGGTTTTGAATGATACTAGGTGTGCTAGGAATGTGGAGTCTTAATGTCAATAAGGATTCTCAGGCTCTCTTACCTATGTTTTCCTAGATACAAAGATGCGGGAATACTTGTGAAGAAAATAACTTGATTACTAGTGTAAAAGTTATATAATTATAAGAAATTAAAAGAAGAACTAAATTCTAAGTACAAAGCAATATAAAAGATAATTTAGGTAATGAAGTGTCTGTGAATAATTTAAGTAACAAAGTGTCTGTGTAAGTTGTTTGTTATTCATTGCTCGTTGCTACTTTCTTTCCTCTTTATAACTTTATTTATAATGTTTGTCTAAGGTTATTATGTTCACAAAACCAGGATCTCAGATGCTTTGTGCTGAAATATTTGCTTTTACTAGGCACGATTTCATGAGATTCGTGACACGTCCAATTAACAGTCTCATGTCCAAATAACGATCATTTTGGCTTGAGCACTCCAAGTCTTAAGGGTTATGTTTCCTCCATAACTCAGCATTTAGTTAGTTTGAAAGGTCTGTTTTTAAATGAATTGGGCCTATCTTAGTAGATGGTTTATTGGTCTGACATTTCCTCTTTTGTATTTTTGGGCTATACTCAAATGTTGCTTTATTTTAGATCCAAACAATTACGTACTAGCCAGGCTGCCAACGTTCAATGCTTGAATATAATTTACAAAAATAACAATAACCAAAATACAAAAATGAATAAGGGATTTATGCTTCAACTTGTATCTTAATTAGAGATGGCAACGGCAAGACAAACAGTCGCATGAACACCAAGAAAGACAAAAATGTTAGAAATGTAACTCGTGAGAACACAAGGAGGAGTAGAATTCAGGGATTCATTGTATGAGCTAAGCACAAGGCATGAAAATTGTATATATATGCCGCATTAATCAACCCTGGTGGATGTGGATTTAGAGAAAAAGCACATTGTGGAAAAGAAGAGTTGGTGATGATGGCGCAATCGTCAAACCCAGCAGTGATAGCAGCCGGAACTGCGTATGATTAAATATTCATGAAAAGGAATGATGCGGGGGAGTGAGTAACATTCCCATTTCCAAATCCTAACTGGTTAGGTTTCTCTAATCCCCCAGCCTGACTTTTGGCCCCACGTGCTACCGCCTTGAATATTCCCCAGCACTGCCCAAGGCGGCAATTTAAACTAAACGCACCGTTTTGGTATTCTCATCAGAGTCTGCCTGCAACATAGCGCACTGTTTTAATGCATAAAATTACAAAGGCCATATGATCTGTTGATTCAATTGGACATGAAAGCCATGAACATGAACGCCAAACATGGCGCTCTAACGTTCGTGTCAGCATTACTCCGCACAATCCATGGCTGACTCTCCATACTTAATCCTGTTTAGTATTAAATATTGATGTCAATACTGCATATTGCAGCATGTATTTACACAACAAATCTTGTTTGGCTGCATGTAATGTATCAGCGCGTGCATTTGACAGTTGACGCCCAGTATTCTTACATCAATTTTCCCATTCAACATCTATGAGCTAAGCATGCGCATTCATTCATTCATGATTCATTCATGACAATTGACAAGTACTGAAGCGTTGGTTTGATTTCAAAGGGGAGACAGGGGACTTGTATATATTGTTTTAATTTTGTAAGACTATAGGTTTCTAATGTATATTTTTTTAATATTATTTGTAATGTCCTAACTTTTTAATTTTATTTTTTTAATTATTGATTTTTGAATAAAATAAGAGACATTTACATATATTAAAATCCAAAAACAGTGATTATGATTTTTTTTAAAAAAATTACAATTACATCATTTTATTTTTAAAAAATCATAAAAACTGCAAAACCTTATCATTTTTAAACTTCAAAATATGAAAATATCTCTTATTTTATGTATAAATTTATAATTAGAAAAAAGTAAAGCAAACTTGAAATATCATAAAGGACATTAAAAAAAAAAAGCAGATTAGAGCCATAGCCCGATTCTGATGCGTCTCAACGTCAATTCCATTGGATCATGTATTGCCCCATTCGAACCTAACTCTGCCTAGTTAGATCGTGGGTTTGTACTTTCTCTGCTTGTTAATTATCATTATATTATGGTATTTCCAGCAAAAAGAAAGAAAGAGAGACGAGATGAACGCTTAGAAAAGTTCCCGCAACCATTAAGCCTTGTTTGGCAATGCAGGCTTGAATTTGAAAGGATTAATATCTGAATTGACACTAGGATTGAGATCTAGATTGAGATCCAAATTAAAGTTTTAAAATTATATTTAATATGGAGTAATAATGGAAGGAATTACTCTCCTTCATTTTATTTTATAATGAAACATAAATTATGAAGATACTATAATACCCTCTATGATTAATAAAAAAATTAACCAAAAGGATATGAAAAACCCGTCTTCTTCCTTCAACTTGAAGTTCGCCAGATTTGGTCTTATGCTGCGTACCTCATAGCTCACACACCTCTCATCCATTCAAAGCCCTCTATTTACCAGATTTGGTCTTGCGCTACCCACAACTTGCCACCTTCTTCCTCTATCTCACAACTTTTCTCTTCCCACTCACTAGATTTGGACATGCACTTTTCCACTTTGCTGAGAAATTATCTTCTTCTTGCTTCAATCTCAATTTCTCTAGTCTCTCACTCCTGTTGCAATGGCTCTTCTCAAATCCAGGTTGAATTGTCATGGGTTTTATATTTTTTTCATTTTACACAGCTTAGGGGAGCTTGAGTGAGACGGTGACTGTGGCGCTGAGGAAAGAAAGGATGACACTGAATGGAGAGAAGGGAAACTCATATGACACCAATAAGCGAGAACAGAATCAGGGTTGAGGGTGAGAATAGTGGTTGATGGCTCGACGCTCATAGAGGTAAAGACAATAAGGGGAGTGCAGGAATAATTTAATCTTTAAAATTTTAAACTCATGATTGATTTTTTAATATTATGGGAGTGGTGATACTAAATAATCTTAACTATATAGAATTAGGATTGGCATTAATTTTTTCATTCTTTCATACCAAATGTTAAAAGGTGATATTGGCCAGTCCCAATTCCAATCCAAAAGGCCTCCTTCGAAAGAAATAGGGCATATTGAATCAATGAATGGATCGATCAATTGCTAATAATTAATTAAATAGCATCGGCTGATTTTGGCAAGGTGGAGAGTTCCAAGACGCAAGCGATCGATACGATGAAATTCGGGTATAAGAAGCAAAGACAAAAACGAAAACAAAACCTAGAGAGAGACGAGGAAACTGAAATTCAATATCAATGGAATGGCCCGTGAAGTAGTTAAATAGGATTCAAAGAACAACAACGTACTGGAAGGACATGTGCTTAATTACAACGGACTCTGTTTTTTCTTCCATTCAAAATTCACTGTCCTGCATGCTTTCTGCCCTCCATTCTCATGCCATTCCTATGATACCCATCTCTCCATATCCATTATCTCGTTTTTATATTCTTTTTATTATGCCCTATATTTTATTAGCTTCTTTTATTCTTAGCTTGTTCATAATCAATAATCAATATGAATGAAAAGGAGAGTGAAAGTTAACTCTAAAAGAAACAACTAATGATAGTTATAGGTTTCCGATTTTTTTTTAAATAAGTTATAAATATAATTTATATAATTATAAATTTATGAGTTTCAATTATAAATAACTATCACTAATTTTTTTTTTTGAAATCTTGCTGTCATTCTTCCTAAGTATAACCTATTATTAATAGGTTATTAAAATAATTCTGAAATATATGTATATAGAATCTGAGATAAGTTGTATTGTACTATTGTTTATGACTTTTTTTATAATGAATTTCATAAATTGATACGGGTTTAAGATATTATTACATAAGGTTTTATGAATAAGTATAATTATCTGCTATAACTCTTAAATACTATATTTTATTAAAATGGTTTTTTATTACTTATATGGAAGCAATCCTTTGTGATTATTATTATTATTATTATGAAATAATTGATTTGACTACCAACCCTGCCAGTGCTGACCTGCAATCCTAAAGACCATAGTCCTTTTTTAAGAAAGTTATTAATTAGTCCGAATAACAGTACAATTGATATTATTACAATTTAAAAATGAAATACATATATTAAGAAAGTTATTAATTAGTCCGAATAACAGTACAATTGATATTGTTACAACTGATATTATTTAACATTTTAAAGTTGGTGTTAAAAAAATGGAGGAGGAGAACAGAAAGAAAGAAGTATTCTCCGCTTCCATGGAAATTGCAGCTAGGAAAATCAGTTACGCAAAAGAAACACAGAGAATCTGAAAAGAAAAAGGGGGGAAATGAATCGTAAATACTCCGCGAGAAACTAGAAAAACGCACCCAGTCACGGTCGTTGATAAGCATTAGCACCAGTGGCCTCAAAAAGAAAAAAAAAAAAAAAGCATCAACACCGACGCGCTCCCCCGCCCTCCAACCAGTTACAGTGCGCTCCGTCTCTCTCTTTCTTTTCTGGTACAATCCCATACAAGCCGACGACGAACTCCGCGCTGGCAAAAGATTCCCTTGCCTTTACCCCCTCCTTATCTTTTTTTGCCTAACAAACCCTAAAACACTAATCTAATTTCTTCTTCCAATCACCGTCCCAGCCATGTTTCCTGTTTTTCTTCCACTTCTTCCCCTACCACTCCTTCGTTAATTCTTCTTCCTTTTCTTTTCTTTTTTTTCCTTTTTTTTTCCCCTTACTGATGGGCTGCGCCAGCTCCAAGCTCGACGATCTCCCCGCCGTCGCGCTCTGCCGCCAGCGCTGTTCCTTCCTTGACGAAGCCATTCACCAGCGCTATGCTCTTTCCGCTGCTCACATAGCCTATATTAACTCCCTTCAATCTATTGGCCATTCCTTGCATCGTTTTATTCAGGTGGATTTCACCACTTCTTCTTCCCCTCCCTCGTCTCCCGAGCTAAATCTTCCTCCTTCCAAGAAGGTCGATTCTGTGGCCACTGCCACTGCCAAGCAAGTGGATACTTCTTCTCCTTCGCCCCCTCACCACTCCCATTCCAATTCTGGATCTCATCTTCACTTCCAATCCGATTCCGATGAAGACGAAGTCGACCATGAATTGGATTCCCTTCATTATTCTGGCCACTCCTCGCCCCTGCACGCCCATCCTGACCCTCCCCCGATCAATTACATTGGCCATTCAGATCGCCCGGGTCTTTCTTCCTTTCCAGGTGGAGGTTATATGCACATGAATTTCATGAAGAATAAAGCTACATCTTCCGTGGTGTTTGAGCAGAAGCCTATCAGCCCCGAGACTGTTTATATGGGCGAATCCTCTTCTTCCTCCTTTTTCCCTTACCCGTACCCCGGTATGAATCCTAATTCTTCTTATTCCTACAGTGGATATTCGACTTATGGCAGTGGGGGTAATGGGTATTATGCTTCTTCCTCGTCGCCGCTGGCTGCTTCCACGTCCAAGCCACCACCTCCGCCATCCCCTCCGAGGGCTTCAACTTGGGATTTCATCCAAAGTCTCAACTTTTTTGATAACGATGATAGATACGATACTCAATACACACCAAGTCGGGACTCCAAGGAAGTGAGAGAGGAAGAGGGCATTCCTGACTTGGAAGACGAGGATTACCGACACGAAGTCGTTAAAGAAGTGCACGGGGATCAAAAGCTTGTGGATGGTGGTGCTGGAAATCATTCGAAGCCCTCCGACAACGACGAAGTTGACAGGACGGAGGCTTCACTATACCAGACTGGGCCGAATGTTTCGATGGAGAATGATGGGTTGGAATATGAGGTTCATGTGGTAGACAAGAAAGTCGTTGATAAAGACGAGAGGTCTAAGGAGCGAGGTGGAGGTGCTGCATTCCGAGGCCGAAGAGGCACACGGGATGCTTCTGAAGTAGCCAGAGAGATTGAGGCTCAGTTCCGGAGGGCATCTGAGTCGGGCACCGAGATCGCAAAGATGCTTGAGGCGGGAAAGCTTCCTTATAATAAAAAGTATGGCGCTTATCAAGGTTAGAGGTTTGATTCTCTTTCGCAAGTCCACTTATTCACGCTTATTTTCAGTTTCTCGGCTTCGCTTATCCATAATGGTCATCGTTTTTTGATCTGTGTTTATTCGTATATATTCTGTGCGCTGTTATGCCCCTAGATTTGTCCTCGACACGGTAGGTTTATGGATCATATGTTCAAGTTTATGACTTGAATTTTATTTTGTTGCTGACTTGAAACTCTTGTTCCTGCCCCTGGACTATGCCTGCAACCGACTGGATAAAGCAGCTTCTTCCAAGATGTTGCATGCAGTTGCTCCCTCATTGTCCATGGTGCCTTCGCAACCTTCTACTTCTAAAAATGCTGAACCTACATCCACCATTGGCAAGGCTGGTCCTAGTAACTTGGGTTTTGATGATGATATAATGATGCGATCACGCAATCTTTCTTCTACATTGCAGAAGCTTTATCTTTGGGAGAAGAAACTATATACTGAAGTGAAGGTATATGATAACTGGTTTATGGTTTGTTCTTATTGTGTCTTAGTTCAATTTACAAATATTTCATTTAACTTTGTATGACTTGTTGGTTCTGTTTCTTTTAGTTTAATTTTCTTTTAGGTCTTTACCTAAGCCGGAAATATGCGTCTTTATGTTTGCATGTTGATGGCCAAGGAAGGGATGATAATTTTGAGCTCTATTTCATATGCAATATTTATGAATGAGTTCGTTTCTATGAACACCAAGTTTGTGTGAAATTCGTGATCAGTTGTTCTGTAATTGTGTCTCGTCCTTTTTCTACATGCAAATAAAGATACAATCAGAAACGTCTCTTTAATGTCTTGAAGTCCATTATTTTTTTCTAGATGGCCTTTGCATCAGTATTTTTGTGTAGTTTCTGATAGATGTGGATCTTAAAATTACTAATCAGATTTAATTTGCATTCAGTCCCCTTTATCAGATTATCTTCATGGCGCAGTTTATTAATGTATATTGTACCTGTGCTTTCATCTGATTTCTTATGACGACTATTTGGAGCGATATGCAGAATGTACTCTTGTTAATCATTGCTTGTGTTTTCGAAGAGGATCTCTTAATGCTCGTGTTTGCAGGCCGAGGAAAAGATGCGGGTCATGCACGATAAGAAGTGTCATAAGCTGAAGCGTATGGATGAAAGGGGTGCTGATTTTCACAAAGTTGACTCGACTCAAACATTAGTAAGGAGTCTATCCACAAAAATAAGAATGGCAATTCAGGTTGTTGATAAGATTTCTATGACGATAAACAAGATCAGGGATGAAGAGCTGTGGCCTCAGCTGAATGAATTAATCCATGGGTATGTGAAGTTATGAGCTTCTTTCTTTTGTTTGTATGGTTCATTATTGTCTCTATTGGCAATTGGCTATCTAGTGTATTTTTAAGCCTTGGAAAACTTTGCATGTTTGAGTTACAAGTAATTTTTTAGGAATTTGACCTGGTTTGTTATATGTTGGGAGTAATTTCTTATCATTTTAGCTGGTGTCAATCGGTTGTCAGAAATTTTGTCACCCCTTTCCTTTTTTATAATTTCAATCAACCCACTTAATTTGTGGATGTCTATGTTCATAACACATGATTCACTTTGTGACCAGATAATATGACTCTTAATTTGAGGTAATAAGAATAGAACAATGAGATTATTGCTACATTTAGGCAGTGGACTTTCGCCAAGTGTGCTAATGGAGTTATTAAACGAGGGTGCATAATTTCTGTGTTGGTTTGTTACATCCAAGATGCATAAGTTGGAAATGTACAGAATATGACCTCACGCAAAATTTATATGAGCTTTAAGGATCAATTTTCTGTCTTTATAATGAGCTATATATGCATAATGGTCTCCATTTCTTGCCTATTACTGTGGTAGACGGGTCATTGCCACCTTTGACAATACGGATGTAATTCCTGAAGCTCAGCCATGTGCCCCACTCCTTGAAAATTTCTGGTGGGCGGTGAACTTTGAATTAGTGTAGTTCCACCCTGTTCCACTAAGATTATCTTCCCTCAGTTTTAGTTATAAATCGAAGTATTGATACACAATTTGCCAAGAATCTTTTATAATAATGAGAAAAGGATTTCTCTGAGAAGCTAAACCTCCTGCAGCCACTAAATGATCTTTGATGGAAGCAAGTCTTTGTGATTTCTTCGAGACTATTTTTTGTAAATTGTTACTAGCTCTAGTGAAGGTCCATCACACCACATTGTTTTATCTTCCGCATAATGTGTTTACCTGCCCAAATTCCTTTGTAATTTGTATATTGTGCTGGAGCTAGTAGACAAAGAAAGTTATCCTTTGCAAAGAAATGCTTGAAACCTGAAGAAATTTGTTTAGGAATGGGTTTTCCCAATGACCAACATGAAAGTTGAATTCCCCTGCGCATCTCTCAGGTGAATCTTGAGTTATGCATATTGCAGGAAAATAAGGCAGAATCTTGAGCTTCGTGAGAAAATTTTGGATGTTAAGATGTTCTGATGATTCCAGAATGATTGGATGGGTTTATCAAGAATGTGTTATTGAAGATAACTAGAGACCTATTCTTTGATATTTTACCGTGGATATTTTCACAACTGAAGGGGGAGGCTTTTTTTTTTTTGGGTGGCTTAGCAACTATCCTTTTTTATTGCATGACACCGCTGCCAGGTTTGTCACTGGTTATACACAAGGGAGCAAGACAGGCGCAGTGATTTTTCTACTTCACTGGAAATTAGTGTTTATCAGAATGATTATAAATAAGTCGTTGCATCTTATGTTGTAGTGTAGTCATTAAGTTTCTGATTTTTTATATAATACATATCATTGTTTGTTTATGAAATGTATTTACATTTTTCTTGACCAGGTTGACAAGGATGTGGAAATCCATGCTTGAATGCCACCGTAATCAGTGTGAAGCAATTAGAGAAGCCAGAATCCTGGGTTCCATTGGATCCAGAAAGAAGGGTGGTGATGGTCATCTTTTAGCCACAAAGGAGCTTGAACAAGAGCTTATCAATTGGACCTTCCAATTTTCTAGCTGGATTAGTGCCCAGAAAGGATATGTTAGAGCATTGAATAATTGGCTTCTAAAGTGTCTCCTATATGAGCCTGAAGAAACGCCTGATGGTATAGTCCCCTTCTCCCCCAGTAGAATTGGTGCTCCTCCTATATTTGTGATCTGTAATCAGTGGTCCCAAGCATTAGAGAGAATATCTGAAAAAGAAGTTGTTGATTCAATGCACGTCTTTACGATGAGTGTGCTTCAGATATGGGAACAAGATAGGCTAGAAATGCACCAGCAGTTGATAGTTAACAAGGATCTTGAGAGAAAAGTCAGAAATCTAGATAAAGATGACCAGAGGATACAGAAGCAAATTCAGGCATTGGAGCGGCAAATGGTTCTGGCATCAGGTGAAGGCAAGGGTCTCTCAGTTTCTGAAAATATTATATATCAGAGTGATAAAAGCAGCAGCCTCCAGGCTAGCTTGCAGCGCATTTTTGAGGCTATGGAGAGATTTACAGAGAACTCTGTGAGAGCATACGAGGAGTTGCTACGGAGAAGCATAGAGGAAAGAGCTGCTCGAGAGCATGGAACAGTTTCATAGAGTGGCATGGTTTGATGGAATTTGGAACTACATCTTCTATCATGAATAGAATTGTGTTGACTTCCTGCTAATAGCTATCCTCTACAAAAATATGTGGGGTGGAGAAAGGTTTGATCTGAAGTTCACTTATTTCAGTAATATAGGCACTGAATAGCGTTCACAGCCTACATACATTTTAGATACTGGGACGATGAACTTCAATATGGGCATAATGAAGAGACAGGGAGGAAGACCGAGGCCAAAGCATTCAAGGAAAACAGGTAAACCGCACCATGTGACGTGACCGGAGGGAATCCTCCGAGGGAAGCTGTCAGCCTGCCCTGCGTCTGAATTGTTGATGTTGCTTGTTTAAGGGTAAAACTCAAGAGACGTTTGCATGGAGGACTGAGTTATAATGTCCTTTACGAAATTGGCGGTGCGCTGGCTTTGTGATGACAGTGAGTGAGTGCGACTTGTCGTCCATGCGAGAAACCCAATGAGAGCATGCAATGGGCCAAATTAGACGAGCGATTCTATGAAAAGTCTGACGCCTGATGAACATGGTTGACTCGGGGCCCCTTGGAGTGACGCAAGTCGTCAGAGTTTCTAGGTGATAGTTATTCAACTATTTGTTACTTTGTATGAAGATATATTCCTTCCATAAAATTTCACCGACTTTAATTGTACATATGGCCCTTTGACTTTGACACTTATTCTGGATAGTGAATAAAGGTTGTTATATTGGATGCGGGGTCTTTTTCAGGACTTTCAATTTATGGAAGACGGATATTCGGAATTTCAAACGGAAAATTATTAATATTATTTTTATTATTGTCGATAGTTTGAGCCTGAGATAAGTCGTAGTTAGGCATTTTGTATTTTATATTGATGTTGATTACATTGATTCTATTGAATGGCATTGGGAACTAACGTTGGTCAGTCTGGGACCAACATGTAATTAAGCTTTTTCATTTTTTTCTTATCTCAACCCATCATTTACATAATGGACCGTCATGCTCACTTCCTAGTTCCTACCAGCATGCACCATCAAGGGTAATGGAGATTGCAACTGTTGTTTAACATTGTTCAATGGCGTCACTGCTGCGTCAGTCTGTTAGAGTTAGCTTAGGTTTCTTTCTTCCATTGATTGATGCAATTTTTTTTTTAGTTATTAATGTTTTAGTCTTTTGACCTTTTTTTTAATGAAGTCTTTTGACCTTTTAAATCCTTTATTTCATCAATAAAATACACACTTAAAAAAAAATTATATCAAAATTTCAGTTTCTTAGTTTATTTAATACAAGGTCATGGAGAATCATGTAATGAAAATTGATCAAGTCATGTCTAAACTCATAAGAAATCAAAATCTTGGAGCTAGATCATCAAAATTTTTAATATCTAGGTTGTTAGCAAGAGCTTCATGAGCAAGTTAATCCAGTCTTTTATGGCAAGATTTTTGATCTTTCATATAATTTCGACAAGGGGATGGATTCAGGTGAAGTCATTCTAAATAGACGTAATAGTTTCAAGTGAGTTAGGAAAACATTTACTTTGATGAATTTGTTCCTCCAATTGAGGTTGAGACTTTTAGGAATGTTAAAAAGCTCAAGGATGATATTGGGATAATAATCAAGGTATTTTATAAGTCTTTTATGCAATAACTTTGATCATCACATATGAAATCTCCATAAATAATAACTCTATTATTATAAATAGAACCATCAATGTTATGTCTAACCCAATCAAGACTGCACGAGATTGATCTTGCTAGAGATCTATAATGATCTAGATGCAAATTGTTGAGTGTTGATGGAAGATTTAGGTCATTGTTTTTGATATTACAAGTATATGTTTAAACTTAATTTCATTCTCTTTTTTATTTCCATTCTCTCCCTCTTACCTCTTATTATTTTATAAAAATTACTTTTAGCCTACCAACAGGCCCAAAAGCGTTCTTGGGGATGGGCATGTAGAGCAAAATAAAGCGAACATGCTTAACGCGGGCCGGGTCAAAAATTACGCTCACTTCGTGCCTGACCAGTTTTCTGGCTGGTCCACTGATGGCTTTTTTGCTTTAAAAACTGCATATAATTTTGTTTTTGCAGGTCCAATGATGCAAACAGAGAAGTTAAGGGGAACCATCTGGCGGTGGTGGATACCAGACAAGATTAAGACATTTATGTGGCTTCTAGATCAAAATAAGCTTCACACAACTGAGCCAAGGAACAGAATGGGAATTGCGGAATCTGGAGCATGCCCTTTTGGCCATGATGCTATGGAGTCGTCTCTACATGTTGTTCGTGACTGCAACCTTGCAAAGGAACGGTGTACTGTGTGCAGATTACTGAACCTGATCGATCAGTTGGCGGACTTTTCCAACACTGGATGCCTTAACTCTAGGACTAAGCCGGGTAAGCCTTTCACTAATAACAAGCTTCGTTGGGCAGTTCTCTTTGCCTCCATGTGTTGGGAACTCTTGACCACCGTGTGCAAGAAACTGTTTCGGTGAGAATTCGAATGAAGCAGAGATGTAGATGCATCTAAATGCGTTTTGAAAAGGCACACGGATTTTCAACTATTACAGAAACTTAATCAGAAAAAGACAATAGTGGATACTGTGCATGCATGGAGACCTCCTAATGAAGGTTATGTCCGATTAGACTCTAGAGGTTTGATTCTCACAAAGGGCCTCACTTCATGTGGAGGTGTTATCAAGGATGAACTTGGAAATTGGCTCCTGGGATTTTGCGGTAAGTTACAAAAATACCTTACTGCTATGACAGAAATCATGGGTATGTATTGCCAAAGGCCTGGAACAATGCTGCTTTCATGGCTTCAAGAAGATTTAAGTTTCTTGTGATTGTGCAACAGCTATAAACATCCTGACAATGGATGTTATTATCAAACTCCCTTTTGTACATATAATTCATGACACCGTTAGACTGATCAACAGAAATTGGAATGTATATAAAAATTTTGTTCATAGGGATGCTTTAGATTTAGCTGATTGTCTTGCTAGGGAAGCTTTTGATATTGATAGGTTTTGAATTTACATGAATATGTACTATTTTTGTTATTATTTAATTAAGTATATGTTACCTTTATTATTATTTTTTACGTAAAGTATGAATATGATTTTATTTAAAATATTAAGAAAAATTAAAATGTTTAAATACAATTAGTGGTCCCTATAGTTTTAACATGTTTTCATGTAGGTCCCTGTAGTTTTTTTTTTTTTGGTTGCTTCAAGTCTCCTTGGTTTATGCTATCTGCAATGTTAATCTTTCTATTTTTAAATATATGTCTAGAAGAAAGATGGGGTGGTATTGATAATGTTAAATATGTTGACATGTGACTAACGTCATCAATCTTTATGCTAAGATGGAATTATTATTCAATAGATTAGAATGTGAAACAAAACGGGATGGATAACATTGTTAATCTACCAAATCATAGTTTTACTTTGGCATAGACTAATGGCATTAGTCATTGGTCAATATATTTGACAATGTTAGCAATATCTCACCTTTTTTCTAGGCATAATTAAAAATAAAGGGAATAACACTATATATATGAGATAAAGTTGTTCCCCATAAAGAACAAAAGTACCAGCTATGCTAGAGACGTTGAGTCTCAAAAGATAACAAAAGAGTTCTCGAACTCCCTTATCATAGTTTACCTAAATATAAAGATGCAAAGAAGTTGGAATAACAAGTATTTGATTAACATAATGTGCAAGATATGAGATCGTAAAGGTTACAAAGCTAAAAATGATGCTAAAAGCTATTTAGAAATATAGAGTAAAAATGCTAAAAGTATTAATGGATGTCAATGATTGATTGTTCAGTGAAGCCTCTTTTCTCTATGTGACTTTCACAGAATCCAGAGCTCGTTCGTGAAATATTAAGGATTCAATAGCACAAGCTGCATCATGGCATGATACACCATATCCCCTTAATGGTCTCATATGTGTATCTTAAGTCTTCGGGGTTAAGTTAAGCTTGTGCATGACACCTTCTTCTTATTTACAGCATGTAACTGCCAGCTCGTGTCCCTGAAATCTATGTAGATGAGGGTTGTGATCTTGCAAGATTTGGGGCTCATTGAGACTAGTGTCTTGTGTGAGGTAATGGTTTAGATAGTGGTTTCAAGTCTTAATGGATTCAAAGACTCGAGCTAACTTAATCAAGTTATTTCAACATGATGTAGACTGTTCTTATCAATATTGAATTTGTTGTTGGGCTTGATACTTCATTCACTTGGCCCATTTCTTGCTATAACTGTTATGTCCTTTTGAATACGAGTCATTTCAGATTTAGCCTAAACAATGCCCTTGCATACTAATGGCTAATAGCTATAAGTGGTGCACATTTGAGCAATCATTTCATTTCTCTGTGCCTTCTTAAAAATATAAATTTCCCCCTCTACCTCTTGTCAGTTTCTCTTTACCATTTCTCGCTCCTTAAGCTTTGTTCTTCTTCGCCTTCGCTACTTTGTTCCAATGGCTTTCTCCTCGGTTGTTACCACTTTTAAAGTTGCTCAACCCAGTATTCCTGCCTCCACTTTACCCGAATCTTTAGTGACAGTTGGAAATCCCATTAGCCACCTAGGGGGTATTACTACAGTGAGTACTCTGTCTCGTGCTTGTTCTTTCTTGATTTAAGTTTCTAGTCTAAAATTCCTTATTTTTCAAGAAGCTTCGTCATTCCATCAATGCATTAATTTCTAGTAAGGTCCTTCCCTTAGGTCAAATATCTTGCTTTCTTATATATTAATGTTGACTACATTTTTCCTTTTTTTCTCTAGTATTTCTCCATGGAGTTTCTGTCTGGCCAATTAGATATATAAGGGGTATTTGTCTATAGCCCTGGAGCTATCAAAGGCAGCAGATCCTACCCAACCAAAAAATATAGCCCTTAACTTTAATACGAGACCTCATATTGACTTGGGTAACCTTACCCTTTACTAAATCCTTATTTAAGAAGCTTCGCAACTAGCCTCGATCTCCTCGTGCTTAGACCAAATGGGTTAGACGTTTGAACCCTATCTATAAGGGGAAGTAGAAGTAAATGGGTCCTTATGACCTAATCCATCTTTCACATATTGATGTTGATATTTCGGTGGGTCTACTGAAGGCATTGTTGAGCTTTTGGGATCTTAGTTGCAATGCTTTCTTCTTTGAATTGAGCCTTATGACCATCATACTTATAGATGTGGTCATGTCTTTAGGTTTGCCAATTACTGGGGAAAAGGATTTTTATGCTATTCTTGAGAAGCATGAGTCATATGCCACTCTGCCTATTGATCTTAAGTCTAAGATCAAGGGCACCGAATCTTACACTCAGATCATGAAGTTATTCTTAGAGAAGTTTGTCGATGAGCCCGTGACTCCTTTGGAGCACTTGATGTTCATCTGGATTTTTCTAAGTTAGTAGATCCTAGCCCTAAAGATAGGAAAGCCTGTGCAACTTCATTTGAGGGTGGTCTAATCCTTGCTTTATAGCAATCAACTCGCTTTTGGTACCATATTCCTTTGTTGCCTTTATAATAGGATGAAGGAATCTTTACAAAAGAAACCTTTCAGCAATTTTCATGGGCCCATCTAGTTTTTGAGGTTGTGGGTTACGGATTATTTTTTAAAGCTTCACTGGGAACCTTTCCCCTAAGACTCAAGAATCTCTTATCCTTTCACTTACCTATTGGACATGTATTTGCTGAATGAAGAATTAGACATATTTAAATTTTTTTGCCAACAGAGTTGGCCCTTATGATGTCTCTAAAGGCTTTTAATGTTCCAGACCGTCACTAACCCACCTAGTACAGGTATATGGTAGAGATAAAAAATAAACCTACCTTTCAGTTGAAAGATGAAACCTTCCTCTTAGCTACCATACCCAAGAAGATATGGCTTCCTCATATTGGTTCCTCCCCCAAGACCTTGAAGGTGTTTGTAGAGTCATATCATCTCTAACTAGTAACGAGCCAGTTTGAACTTAGGTAGTGCATCCTCCACAGTTTGTCTCCATGAGTTTACTTGGAGCTAATGGATAAGGAAACTATCACTTGGGTGACCTTTCCTCTTGATGCTTGGGTATAATGCAAGGTGGAAATGGTGGACCAAGATGCTTGCCTTCACTTAAATTAGTAGTGGTCCTAGAGGTTTAGGTGTATTGTGAAGACCTATATCAGTAAGTGTTGTTTTAGTTTATGTACTCTCTTTCTTTTATGTTGCTTGTTTGTTTTCCATATCTTTGGTTTATCTAAACTAAGATTGAGCACAATCTCTAGTGTTAGTAACACTCTTAAGAGGCAATATTGATGCTCTTACTGCTTCTAAGATTGAGATGGCCCCTTCACTTGGGGCCATGGTCTGAGAAATTGAAAAAGATGATGAAGCTTTATCGCAAGCCCTTGTCCCTAAGAAGTCAAAGCTAAAAAAGAGTCAACCTTAGGGCAACATGGAAAATGGGGTGGATACTGCTAAAAGGAAACAAGATTTGTCCTCTTTAGCTATCTCTGATCAGCAGGTTGAGCCTAAGCAGAGGAAGAGGACTCCATTAGTCCCCAAGTAACTTCCTCCTCTACTTCATTATGCTGAGTCTAGTTTCAAAGGAGAGGGTATTTGGCCAAAACACTGCTGCCAATTAATCTTATAAGATGAATTAGAGGATGATTGGCTAAGTCATTTTCAAGCTAGTAGTCTAGAGACTCTGGGAGCTCAAGTAGCTCTAGAGGAACCTCAAGTGGCTGTGTCTACCGTGGCCCCAGAGGCTTTATAACTTGTAGTTCAAGAGGAGGCTGCTGTGTTAACGGAGCCACTTATTTCCATCCCATCTGTTTTTAACGAGACTGGGTTAGCAGGATTCAAGCTCTCACTGGAGGTACCTGAGGCTAAGGTTAATGAGACTACGACCCTAGAGGACACCCCTCACTCAGTGGATAAGGGCAAGGTCTTAATGTATCCAGTCTAGGTATATTTTTGATCTTGATTTATTTTCTTTTATCTTCACTCTTATATTGAGTTAGCTTACTGTTCATGTTCCTTTAGGTGCTATCGTTAACGCTGATAGGCTCTTCTAGTCATTTATATGTTTTTGATAAGGAGGTCGTCCAGGATGCTTGGCAAATCATCTAGTTCCATATGAGTAAAAACCCCCTGTTACTTCCAGAGCAGAGCTATGAAGAAATCCTTTGGGTTGTGTTAGTTCTTGAGAAAGCACTTCAATCACCTGTGGTAGAGCTTCTTTATCATCAACTTCTCGACTGTTAGGGCATAATCAACTGATGTAATGTAGAGCTGTCATCCCTATTGGACTTTATCTTAAAAAACTGGTCTATTAGGGATTAGTATAGTAATGCCATGGCTCGAGTGACAGTGGCTAGTAGTCGAGTTAGGGAGTTTAATACTATGTGCTCACGATGTCCAACTGCCTTAGCATTGGGCATCAATGGTTCTAACCCTATGGGTGCAGATCTTCCTTCTGGCTCGTTAGAACTTGTATTTGTTTCATCAATCTTATTGTCTTTCTCATCTTGGTATCTTTTTACATAATGTCCCACCAGGCATGCTATAAATTGTTCTCCATAAATAATAAAAGTATAAGGTGTGTCAAAGACGCTGACTCTCAAAAGATAATAAAAGGGTTCTTGGGCTCTCTTACCACAATTTACCCAGATATAAAGATGCAAAGAAGTTGAAATAACAAGTATTTGATTAATAGAATGTGCAAGATACAAGATAGTAAAGGTTACAAAGCTAAAAATGATGCTAAAAACTATATGGACAATATTACAAAATAAGCTTACAAGAGTGCTTTTTTTTTTTTACCTTAAGGAGTGCTTCAAAAGCCCTCCCATATCGAGTGCTTCGGAATATACGGGAGTGCTTTGTGAAGTGCTCCTGTATGTGTTAGATACAATAGCATTTTTTGAAAAGCACTCCTATATATCTAAGAAAAATTATGACTTATAGGATCACCTATGGGAGCACTCTTGTCATGAGCATCCTGTAGGCCATAATTTT